TGAAGTAAATTCTTTTTTATCTAAGGGGATCGAGCGCAACGTTTGGGAATTGAATTCGGATAATTTTTTTTTTATTTTAAACTTCGGACTACGATCTGTCATGAATTGTAAATTAATTGTTTATCAATCCTGGATCCGATCTCGGTATATAGCTATCAACAACGAGCGCAGCGTATATACCGAACTTCGAATTTTGGTACCGTGAGTGTTTCGAATCCGATAGGCAGCAGAGCAAACTGATGAATAAACAAATGGTGACTATATGGACGCAGAATTCTGAGTTGATCAAAAATATATACACCTAATCCGTGCGGTATATTTTTGGATGCTAAACCTTTCAGTAACAGAAGAACAATAAACGCAAATGCGTTACAAAGCTTCAAAATGAACTCAATCAAAACGGTTTATATTAAGCGGCAAGTAAGCTTAGCCAATTGCGATTTCAGATAACCTCCAGCACACTCCGTTGGTTCGACTTTATGCCATATTTTGCTCACGATTAGCTTTTAAGCGGGCAGAAAACATCTCTAAGATGATTTGGTAAATTTTTCATTGAACAAAAATTTAAACAAGTAACATGAGCGACATGAGCAATAAAGTGCAAATAGAATAGTATACAAAAGTGTAGAGATGAGCAGCACAACAGAGAAAAAAATATTTTGTCAACAACTAATTGTTGTTCTGATCAATAAATTATTGCATAAATATACTTTGAGTTTTCATTCACTCACAAAGCCAGCTAATACTTAATCTTTAACTTTATCAAAAAACAAAAAAATAAAAAAATATTGTTCCGATATTGATATTCAAGTTGAGTTAAAATTGAGCTTTAAGGCCAAATTCATTCAAATACATTTCTCTTAATATTATCAATCGGGTTTAGGGAAATTTCAAATGAGAAAAGCAAAGAGATATACGGTCTTCTTGATTACAATTTTTGCATAAACTTTACATTCTTACACTTACTGTCAAATAAACTTTTCTCGCAAGCTTCAGCATACGCGCACACACACTATTGCACTCAGTTCAACTCATAGAAAAAAGATTTTCGAAAATAAATATTATATTTTGCTTGAGCGATAAACTTCGTGAAATGATATAAAATATTATCGCATATAATGTCGATGTGCGCAACCATTTGTATAGATGTATAGATTGTAAATAACTTGTTGCACAGTTCGTACCCCGAATTCCGAATTTAATAGGTTCGCACATATATGCGGCCGAATATCGAAATCGAGAGTTTCTTTGTGAAATTGAAAATATATTTTAATACTTGTTCAATAATACATATATATATATATATATATATATATATATATGTATATAGAGGAAGAAAATCGAGCGATTCGTATGAATATAATTTACTTCCTCTGCTGATATCTAGATTTGTTTCCGATATGTTGTCACTACACTTTGCACGCACATCTACACAGCACAACATAATTGAAGTCCTTCTCATTCAATTTGCAATTTTTATATCGCTATAAGAGAAATGAAAGACTATTCGTGCAAGTGTGTAAGTGAGTTTCGCACATACAATAAAACTGTGTTTCTTTGATGTTTACGAAGTGTAAAGAAGTGCAAACTCAATATGTCTCATTTTACAATAGCGAAAAAGCGGGCGAGCGAGAGAGAGAGAGAGAGAGAGAGAGAGTGGACTTTTTATGCGATTTCTTGTTATTTATAAACAAAATTGAGAGCAAATTTTATCCTGTACCTTAAATACATACTCGCTGCGCATGCATATATATAAAAAGAGAACTGACGAGAACTTTCGATTAACTTTGTTCTCTTAAAATGTAAACTTAAATTTAAAAATCCATTATGAAGAGAAGCTCATAACATATTATAAGTATATGGGAAATGGTATAGAGTGTGTTTTTTAATTACTATCCGTAAGTACTATTTTTATTATCTTTAAATATAAATTTATTTAATGAATCAAATTACGAATATAGACAATTTAAGTTAGCAGAGTTTCCCTACTTTTTTTTCCTTTAAGATATCACCATCTAAAACATATCATCATTGATATCATTTTTCGTGTCATCATAAATTCGCTATCAGAGATTTATTTGCCTCGATTGAAGTAAAATGTTCACAAAATTACAAAAAAAAAAAAAAAAAAAATAAACAAAAAAAGCATTATAATGGACTTTGGCCGGCTGTTGAATACTCCACACTATTTCGCTTAATACAATTATATTCAAAATAAGATGAGAGATTTTCAATAGTGTTCGTCCTTGAGCGAAAACACGTGAAAATATCGCAAAAATTGCGACCCATACGTTGAACTCAAGAAAACAAAGCGGACAGACGGACAGAGAAGCTGAGATACTATGAAAGATGGATCGATCTTAAATCCTTTTGGCTGTTTCATACATCCGAACAAACTTAATATACCGTTGTTTCATAAAAGGCCAAATAATTTAGAGAGAAACTAATATTGGTTTTCTGAACTTGTCGACAGTATTGTTTTATTCAATCGTTTAACGGCTGCTACGAGAGTGTTAGAATCTTTCAATTTCAAATCGATAGTGATCAATGAATCATTTTGCAATTAGTGTCATTTTACAACTTAAACGAATTAATTTAACATAATCCATGAATAGTACGTTGCTCTTATTTTGTGTTTAATAAATTGACAGCAAAATACGCAGCAAAATTTTTGCTTATTTTTATTTTCCGATAAACGCCGTTCGTTTTCCATGAAAGAATTTTCATTGCGGTTTCTTTGCTTTTTAATATAAGGAATCTGTTCGCATTTTGCAGCAAACAGATAATGATAAGTGCAATATGATATTTCTTGTCAATTACAGTACGAGAGCATTTTAATTTTAATCTCATTTATTACAGCAAAGCAGAGAATAAATTCTACGCGCTAGCATATCAAAGCTTTTCGGCTTTACTAAAAACTCTACCGCTTTGAGCTTTGAAGCTATGACCATCGAGTTGATAATCGCGACTGTTGCCAACTCGGTCACTCAGGCGGATTAGCAACGCATTTAAAAACCTAACTTCACTTATAATAATACAATTGCATCCGCATAGCGGAAATAATTTTCATTGTCTTAACCGTTTCTATCTTCTCCTTTAACCTACGTGAAGCTAGACTTCACATTAATTTATTTAAGATTATTAATCGTTTAATAGAAAGATATACTAATAATAATAAATTGTACGTATTCCAATACGAATTTTTATTGAGACCATTTGACAGTTGTAGTGAGTGTTCAGTCAGCGAGGCGCATAACACTATCACTGATAGTGTCCTAACATCGATTAGGTTGCGGCCACCATCTCCATATTTTTATGGCTCTTTCCTTACTCCTCTGTGAATAGGGTGCATCCCCTGGCTGATTGGTCATATCAAAAAAAAAAAAAAAATTCGTTTGCCACCCAATCTTTTATACCCATCACCGTTATCCTTAAAAAGACTAAAGAACTAAATTTTCATGATCTATCATATTGGCTGGGCGCGGCTGATTTTTTCTATTTTCAGAATTAAAGGCAATATTTGTATGGTGTATGTGTTGAACTTTCGTTCCGTAGGCGTGTGGGCGTTATCGTGTAAAATCGCGCGGATATCGAGTCAAGAACGAAAAAAACCGCGGAAAAGTCACCCAAAAATCAAGTTAATGTTAATAATTTTTTTCAATTATGGTGATGTTGTACACTACGAATTCCTTCCGTCACTCCAAATTTTTAACAAGAAATATGTTTTGAGCACTTTTGCGAAGGCGATGAAATTGACTTCAAAGAGTGAGTAACAATTTTTGGGTTTAAAAGTAAATTCATTGTATTTTTCGGACATAGTAGTACATATTATATATTAGTTAAACATTAGAGAAACATCGCATGCGATATCGCGCGTTATCGCACGATATCCTGTGACATAAATTTATTTTAAATCTTCATTATTCATACGAAATTTCAATTGAATTGGAAAAATTGCAAAATTATGAAAGGTAAGGTGAAGTAACATTTCGGAACGAAAAAGCTTAAAATCATTTTAAATCACTTTAATTTTTGATCTGTTGTTACTGCAATTACGTTAGACCGATTTTGTCCTTTATCGATATACAGGTACAAAACGGAGTTGTGCTAATGATATTTCCGCTGAAAATTCGATGAATTTGCAATCTCGATAGGCAGCTGCATCATCACAATTACCCTACACATTTTTAATGTGTTTTCTATTAAGCCTAATAAGGTTAATCCTGCGATGTGCGGCGTTCAGTTAGTTTTGATGATTGAATAAAAAGGCAAAAAGAAATACGTATTAAAGCTATGCAAATCGTGTAATACGATATTAGGATAAAACTAATTTGCGCGAATAAGAGAAAATTCCAATTTTTATAAGAGAAAAATTGCAAATTTGAAGAGTGCCTGTTAGAGTGGGCGTGAATGCCACCCTCTTGTTAAAGAAGAAAAGCTTTCAAGTTCAACAGATTCGAAACAAACGCTTGGAGAGCTAATTTCGGTCGAGTATCATTCAACAAATTGCAAAAACAAAAATTGGTAAATTCAAGAAAACAAAAAAAGAAAAAAAAAAAGTACGTAAAAGGAAAAAAGAAAAAAAAAAAGAAAAAAGAAATTGAATCTCATGGATACACAAATGCTGTGGTCGTAATACCTGCGCTATGACAGTTGGTTATGAAATCTGAACACGTCTGCACGTGCCAACGGATATATTAAATAAGAAACGCACCAATACCATTAGTTAACAATATTCTTTCCAAAGTGAAAGAAAATAACACACACACCAATGGACGCATAAACATAAATATATGTGAACCTAAGATACAAAGTTGTATAGTATGTGTAATGCAAGTGTTGAACAGTAATACTAAAACCGATTTATATAATTTAAAGTGAATTGTGATAAATCAAAAAAAAAAAAAAAAAAAAAAAAATATATATATATATATATAAAAATATAAATAAATATATATATAAACATATTTGTGACTTTTAAGGATAAATAATGAATTATTTTGCAGTGTCGGTAGCATTAGGATTAAAATATAAATAAAAAAATAAAAAGTCTTTTAGATCAAACATAATCAAAAATCTCTTGTGAAACGATTGTAATCAATTTTAAGCGGCATCGTATAATAACGGATCACGCATCGTACTACATTCGACTGAGATATACATATATATGTATATATAAGCGATATAATAATGTTAATATGTATGTGTGTATTATTTTGTTTATTATTAAATACAATATAAATAATAAGAAATTTAAGAATATTTAAAAGTTTCCTTGCTAATATAATCATTAACGTTGATGTGCAACGACAAAGATTTCTCTATTCATTTACAATAGATCTGCACGCAACGCTCGATTCATTATGAAAGATCCAATTAGGTTAGTTTATAGGTTTTTCTCAAATTGAAGATTAAAATTAATGACTTACTATTACTATTTCACGTATGCGTATATGCTCGGCACTCGATTAGGGAGAATAATACATATATAAAGGTTGTAGTCAAAAAAAAAAAAAATAAATAAATAAATAAATAAATAAAAATCGCTTGAAGAATTCGCCAAATTTCTATAGACCACATAAGTGCAATTATCGAACGTAGCAGTAGTAAGCTCCTCATTATAATTTAATAACAGTGTAAAAGAGTGTGTATGTGTTACAGGCCGTTGTAGGCCGCTAAACCGTAGTTGTATGTATCTATTTAAAAGCTACTCTTATAAGTATGAAAGCTTGTCGCCACCGATGTCGAAACACTTTTCCACTAAACACCTTAAACAGCATTATACGCAACCAATCATTATCAAATTTTTGGTTAGAAGTTTTCAGATTGACTTTCATTTCCATTATTATTATTATTATTATTATTATTATTATTTGATCGCTTTTACACCTTACACAATTAAATGTCTTGAAGGATCGATGACATCTTATACTACATATCGCTTATGTCATATATAAGAGTGTGGATGTGATACATCCATCGGAACAATTGAATAAAATTTTATAAAAAATTTTTCATAAATATCTCTCTTATGGATTATATACAATCATGGGATTACTATCTCCAAAATTGCTCTGACTTTTTACCTATTATGTCCAGGTTCAACTCTAATCCGGAAATTTGCTAAACTTCTTGCATTTTCCTTCCTTTCACTAAACGAAATCGTAAACCTAGCATAAAGTACCCTAATTGTCCCTAAAACCTGTGCGTTCAATACTAAACTGTTTTCAAAGGCGGGCTTCAAAGATTGTCATTGTCAGTTGTTATAACTTTATTCCTTCATTTCTTGTCCATTTTATAGAGCATAGATGCGAGAAAAATACCAAATTCTGAATCGATTTAGGCATGCCTCTCCGTCCGTTCCACCGGTCAAAAAAAACACACACATCGTTTTCAAATTTATTTGGAAAAAAAAAATATTTGGAAATTCTTGGACGCGAATCGGTATTGAAAATATCAGTAGCTGTTAAAAGGTCATGACTATAGTATGATGTACACTAAGAACACCTCGATTTTCGAAAGTGAAAGAATTTGTTTGCGTTCTTTTTTTCTCCTCATCATTGCAACTAAGTCAACGAGAAAACTTTTCACTTATATTCTATGAATGATCCCACCGTGGCTGTACCAAAAGCCACACTAATTCAATATTATGGAGTGTAAACATTTCAGTTTTTCTTCTTCGATTTCTTTTCACCATCGCTGAAGGAGGATGAGGGGTATATTCATTTTGTCGAAACGTTTGCAACGCCAAGAAGTGAGCTTCAGAGACCCCATAAACTATATATAAACATCAAATTTTGAATCGATTTAATCATGTTCGCCCGTCGGTCTGGCCGATCGTCTGTATAATGTCTGCTCTAAGCATTCTCTTAGTCGCAAAAATTAAGTTATCGACTTATCGCAAGTCCTTGCACGGAGATTGATATTTGAAAATGGATCAAAATTTATTTTGTGAAGACCTTTATAACGCCTAGAAGCAAGCTTTAAAAACTCCATAAAGTTTATATATTCTACATATGATAGTGTTAAAGTCGCAACATACGTAAGCATATTCGTCTGTTCGTCTGTCTAGCTGTGTAGTGCTACCGTGCGCATAAACGAACGCATCGCCTATGAATTTACAATAGACCGACCCCAACCGATTAAACACATGCCTACAGCGCAAAAAAAGAAATTGAGAATCTTTTTGCTTATTGTATTTTTCGCTTATTACTCGTTAATTTGTACTAGACCCACGAAAAAAATGTCCGCGCTGTTATTCTGCAAAAATAGAAGAACTCGCCCACGTCTAAATAATATTATAGAGCGTTGTCTTATTCTTTTTTTTTTTTTTTTTTTTTTTTTGGTTTAATCCATCTTAGAATAGCGATGTTGCATATAGGAGATTCGACCACAGCCGCGTATAATTTTCTCGTTTTTTTTATGTATATATTTACCTAGAAGGCAGAATATTAAACAAAAAGAAAAAAAAAAATTTATTGTCAACTTTGCATAAGTTGTTTGCCTTTCCCTGTTTTTTTTTTTTTTTTTTTGTTTTTAAATATAAACACATACGCATATATTAAATATTTCCACGAAGAGAAAAGTTTTGGCATATTTTAAATGCTTAATGTCTGCTGCCACGTTAGGCGAAATGCTTTCTGCTTAAACGGGAAACTAAGAAAATCTGATAGACAGATAGTGTGACAGAGTGTGCAAATATTTTACAAGTACATATATTTAATGGTGAATAGTTTAAATGGAAGCTTGTGCAACCGCAGATTATGTATGCAAGCAAAGCCACACACACACACACACACACACACACACACACACACACACACACAC